GTTGGTACTAAAATAGGAGAAAGGAGAAAGACCCTGGAGACCAAGCCCCTGGGCAAACAAGTACCAGGACCACCAACCAGGTCTCCTCAGCCTTCAGGGAGGGTCTCGAACAGTGGGAGCCCAGCTGAGTTCCCATCACTGTGGCCCCCATGCCAGAGGGTTTCTTATGAGGCTACTTGGAGCCCAAGGCTTCCTGCTTTTGGAGGACATTCGAAGTTCCTCCAGGGATGGATGAGGCCCACTTAGGGAATCCACACTCTCTAGCTGGTGGCACACCCAGCCTGGGACATGTGTCCCAGGTGTCTTAAGAGGCAGATGTCCCAGTAGAGGAGGGACCTCCATATCCACGACACAGGCTCTAGCATCAGCTACCCTGAAGTCCATGTCCTGCCCAGCCCGCAGGCCACTGTAGTTCCCCTGGGTCTCAGTTTCTTGGACTGACCTGAAGATACTCATCCTGCAGGGCTGGGGAGATTCAGCGGCCCTTTTATAGGACTTCACAGCTCTGAAGTCTCAGGCAGTGGGAACACCTATTGTGCACTTCCTGGTTCATTCACTGAGCTGACCTGCACGGAAGCCTTCAACACATCATCCTGAGCTAGCGACACGGTGCCTTCACTCACCTACCATGAGTTAGGTGCTTGTTCTTAGTGCTGGAGCTCCATAGAGTCCAGCTTTCTAAGGGTTTCCTTCCAGTGGGACAGACAGACAGAAAGACAGACACCAAACAGGAAACCAGACACGCTGCCAGGTGGTGGCAATACATCAAAGGGACCAAAAGAGTGTGCAGGAAGTACCGAGTGATGGTGTGGGGGATATGGAAGAGGTGGAGAGGAGATGTGAGGGTTGTGTCTCCGGACAGAGACTCTGGGCATGCACCTGGCGGAAGAAAGGGACCCAGCCTGCAGGTTAACAGAGGAAGGTGCTTGTCGGGTTGGGAGCAGCGGCTGCTGAGACTCTGGGCCCCTGTCAGGAGCACCGCTGTGCTGGGTGAGCAAGTGAAGAGGATTTTGATTCCATTAGCTGGGTTTGATTTAGGTTTTAAAAGAGTCACTCTGCCGTGATGGACAAAGAACAGGGCAGGGAGACAGGCAGGAGGTTCTCGCCTCAGTGTGAGCAAGAAGGGGGTGGCCAGTCAGCCAAGCGTCCCAAGCTGTCTGGAGTCAATCCATCCTCATCCAAGTGCTGACCACTGATTTGCTGGGAGTCACCCAATCGCTCTGTGCCTCAGTTTCCTTGACTATAGACATAAGTGGTGTGGAATGTGGGGCAGGGGACCTAGCCAGCAAGCTCTGCAGATATTTGAAAAACTCCCTCCTGGAAGAAGGGGAGGAAAGACAGAAAAGTCACAGTACTCAGAGGCCCTGACAGGAGGCCATAAAACAGTGAAGGGCAGCTGGGGAGAGGAGACGCGGAAGCTTCCGTGGAGCTGACTTTAAGGTGCACAGGGAGCTCCAGGGAGCGCTGTGAGCCACACACACCCAAGTGGGCCTTCGGGTGATGCAGCTCCCTGAGTCACCCTTGCTCCAGCTCTGTCTTCAGCCCCCACGCGGCCCATACTCACACTGTACGAGTCTCAGTTTCCCCATCTGTGAAATGTAGACACCTTCAACCCTGAGATCCTGATGAGCCAGCTACCAAATGCCCGGTGAAGGTGGGAAGGTATATCTGTGTTTGTGGGCATACTCTTGAGTGTCTTCCCCCAGATACAACCCTTTCTCACCTGTCACAGGACAGGCAGAATGCAGAGGCAGTTATGCTGAGCTTCAGGGCACCAACAGCTCCCCCAAGGTGGTCTTGGGGGCCTGGGGGCCTGGGCTGGAGGGGACCACACTCAGCCAGATCCTGTGCTGTGCCTGTGTGTGCACTGGCTGACTGCTGCAGTCAGAGCAGACTCACTGAGTATCTGCTGTGAGCCACAGGCAGCGTTAACACAGGCTAAGAGCCTGGACCCACCAAGAACCAGGGTGTGTGATAGGAAAACAAGCTGCAGGACCATCAGCAGGGGGACCGGGCCAGAAAGGAAACCTAGAAGGTGCTTGAGTAGGGGAATGGTGCCTGGGTAGGCAAGTGGTCTGGGGATAGCAGCCGCCACAATCCACCGCTAAAGGAGAAGCTGGAGGGCTTCCTCCTGGGGAAGGCGGAGTCCTGGGGAGGGTAAAGAGAGATTCAAGGCGTGGAGGGCCCTAGGACCTCAGGGAGCTGAGTCTCTGGTCACCAGAACAGAGATGGAGCCTAAGAATCTGAACAAAATTCCTCTGTAAAATTCAATGAAGGCTTGAGTCTCCAGCTCATCCCGGGCTTCCCTGTTCGCTAACTGAGTTAGAGCCATGGGGCAGGACAGCTGGCTGGAGCTCCCTCTGCCTGGCTGTTCAATTGGCACCTGGTTCTGCCTTTACCAGGCAGTCACGTAAGTCTTCCTTGCTCAAGAGGAAGATGAAGAGAGAGAGAGAGTGCTCACAGGGCTTGAGGGGCCAGGGCTGTGCCACAACCCCCAGGGGCTCCAGGACTGCTAAGGATGTGGCAATTTAGGAAGGACCCAAGGCTTATTCACCAAGCCGCAGCTGGGAGTCACCTACCCAGATGGTGACCCTGCTGCTAGCAGGGTGGTCGATGGTGCGGCTTTCCCCTGCCTCCCCCATAGCAGGGAAGGGTTGCCCTAGAGCCTGGGCAACTGAGACCACACACACAGCTGCTTGGATCTTGATCTTGCTAGAGCCTTTGACCCCCTCTGCCCAACTGGCTACCTGCCTGTGAGCCTCAGTTTCCCTAGAGGGTCCCAATTTACTGCTCATCTCAGCCTACAGAGAGCCTCCCCAGGGTGAGATGATGCATGGGTCTCCATCATACCCTCTTGGTGGTCTGGCTCCTTTGTGGGTGGCTTTGTACTCTAGCAAGAGGAGGGAGGCAGTGTCGGAGAAGCCAGGGAAGCAGGCAGCCAACATGCCGAGGTCTTCGACACAAGTCAGGGTGAAGAGGGCAAAGCGGCAAGCTGAGCTCAGAAGGTGGCCTCCGGAGTCCTGCACCCTGTCCCTCTAGTCTCCCAGGGGACCCTGGAGTGGCAAAGAAGGCGGTTCCACATGGCTGCCCAACCCTTTCCCCTTGCTTCTCCTCTGACAAAACTGAAGCCTCATCCCTTGTCACGGCACATTCAAGGGCTAAAAGGGATCGGGAGGTGGTGTGTGAATGTGGCTGGTGACTAGAACATTCCCTCACAACACATCACAGCTTCTAGGCCATGGTTCAAATGTTCAGCTGTCAGGTAGACTCAGACACAGCTTCCCAAATCTGTAGAGGGAACCAGGAAGGCAGGGACATGTGAGCTTCACAGTATGTGAGTCCCAAATGGCCAGGCAGACACCGTCCCTCAGTCTCTATAAATTCTAGCTCTGTACAGTCCCAAACTCTGGGCACATCCTTACCACCCCCTCTACTCCTGCATCCCGACGGTGCAGCGTGGCACTTGGCATAGAGTCAGTGCACAATAGGTTCACATTGGTGCGAGCTAGTGTGAGAAGGGGGAACACGGAGACAGACACAGCGCTCACAGCAGGTAAGCCAGAGACATGGGGTGCAGAGGTGGTGACTCAGTACATCTCCAGGCACCATGGGCCTCCATGCAGGCCAACACCCCAGCCGTGAGTATAGACACTAATAACCTTCATTGCCTTGGAGGCAGGGTGGGGACTCCACCAAGACGTCTCCCAGTGATTCTCAAACCAGGGTGACTAGACCCTTTTGGCCAGTGAGCTTTGGTAAGTCCTGCCATTGGACACAGTAAACAGACTGCTCCCCGTCTAGTTTTCCAGGCATCTGTGTCTGGCTCCCCACCTGAATGGTGGCTCTCCACACCCTCCCCTCCTACCACAGGAGCCAGCCTGGGGCCCATCCGAGGGATGACAGACAGTGGCTGTCTCCTATATGATAGACAGGCAGTTACTCGGTCCATAGGCGCAAGTGACTGTAAATGCATCTGATTAACTATTCACGCCATTCATTATTGAAAAGGTCACTACCTGGGAGCCGCTCCAGCAGTGGCTAACAAGCTCGCCTGTACCTCCCAGGAGAAGCAGCAAAGGTTCACGGTATGCCTACTGTGCACCAGGCACCCCCAGAATAACCCAAGAAGGGGTACACAGCCCTGACTTCTCACGAGGACTGGAACATCAAAGGATAACACAACAGTTGAGGTCGTAACACTGGGAAGCGGCAGAGACAGGCTTGTGCTGGACAGTGCCCCGCAGAGCCCAGTGGTCACTGTGCTGCAAGGTGAGAACCACGGGCAAGAGGGCTCAAGATGACCTTGTAGCTTGGGCTCTGGGCTGTGACCCCAAAAGATACTGTGCTCAGTGTCTGAGGACCCAGAGTCTGTGCCCACAACTACTGCCTAGGCCTCCAGTCTCTGTCCAACCAAGACCCTGGTCCAAGGAGCAGGCCATGCCCGTCTCTGTCATTGGGCTGGTTGGCCCCACGGGACAGCTGCTCTCAAAGTCCTCCGCTCTGGGCAGCAATGCCGCCACCTTCCACCATCACCATCATCCTAGAGATAATAGCTGCCCAGATGCTGAAACCAGACCTGGCCACCCTCAAAGCCAAGTCCTTGATATGCCACCTCCCTTGCCAGTATGCTTCTCTCCCCAGCGTCGCCACAGGACAGCCTGCCTGAGTCACCTCCAGGTAAGCAGAGAAAAGGAGCTAAGGGCTAACTGGGTTTATTTCCTGCTGGAAATTCTCCCTCTGGTCCCTGACGAGCTTCCCTTTCTTTTGACCAAACCACAAGAATACGAAAAGCCGTCCAACTTTCCCTTTCATCTCAGAAACTCCAGCGACAACCTGTCTCGTTTTTTGGCTTCTCCTCTAGACACACGTGAGCCGCCACAAGTGGCTTCAAGTCCTCCTTGGAAAACGGTAAGGACAGCAAATAGCCTGGTCACCCAGGATCCGAATGCAGTAGCCGTAATACCATCAAGTCCACCACAGCTGTTATTGCGAACACTCACCAGGCAGATGAGCTTTGGAAGGCCATCAGGGGTGGGCTGTGTGTGTCTCCCCGCAGCGTGTGCACGGCCTGGGGTGCTTGTGGCAGGACACCAGGGGGAGGCTGTGGCTGTGGGGCTGGCTGTCCCGGCCGAGGGGCTCGAGCGGGGTTCCCCCACCGCCGGGGGTCCTGTTTCATCCACCGTCCGTGGATGCCCCACCGGGTCAGGTAAACCTTGCAAATGTCGTAGTTCATGGCTGAATAATAGAGCAGATCCAGGACCAGCAGGGTGAGCACGAAGAAGCCATAGATCCACACTCCCAGCAGCGCTGTGTAGTTGCTGGGGAAAGAGAAGCAGAGACTGAACCACACTCCCAGCAGCACCTGCTCTGCCAGCATCCACCTCAGGATGACAGACAGACATCACGGGTGGCTCATCCCACCACCTGCCTTGTCTCCCTCGAACCCCATGTCCACTGCCCTGCCCCTGCCCTGTGTTCTAGAGTCCTTCCCCAATAAGCACTCTGCAAGAGCTCTGAGCTTTCTAAGCTGTGTATTGGGGACCCCGTAACTAGGGCCCCTACTTCATCCTACTTCTTCCTGTATGTGCCCTGGCTCCCTGCTGGCTTTGTGCATACCACATGTCCCTGGGCACTCCGGTTCCATCTCTCCTGGCCTCACTCCCTAGGGCAGAAGCTGGAGGCCTGCCATTGCCTTGGGACACACTAAACCAAGTCACACCCCACGTACCTCAGAACCCCATGCTATCTGCTCTCTGAAGGGGTGCTACACCTCCAGGCCCTGTGCAGAACTCCCTTCCCTGTTGTCTGTGACACTCACATCAGCTCAGCACCCACCCTTGCTGAGGTCCTTTCATTCTGATCACAGGGAAACCTTAATCTCCTCTATGACTTTTTTTTTAAGCATCAGGCCTTATGTAGCCCTGACCTTGCTATGTAGCCAAGGATATCCTTGAATCTCTGATCCTCCTGCCTCCACTTCCAGAGCACTGGGATGACAAGGGCTTGGTTTGTGCAATGATGGGAATGGAACTTGGGACTTCAGGCAGGCTTGAAAACACTGATCGCTGAGTCACATCCCTGGCCCCTCCATCACCCCTCTCTTTCCCCACAGAGGTCACAGTCACCCTGCAGAGGTGGCAAGAGTCCTTTGGATTTAGCACCTCAAACAATATCAATCGGTGGCAAGCCCTGCTGACTCTCTACAGTTTGGTTGAGCACTGAAGCACACACCTGGGTCACTCCCATCCCAGGGCCTTTGCATAGGCCATGCTCTCTGCGGGGCAGCCTTTCCCACATCCCAACCCCTCCCCCTCTGCCCACTGTTCATGGTACCCTCAGGTGAGACTCTTCCAACCCCCCCCAGACTTCATTAAAGCCATCCTCTCCTCTGGCCCCTGTCACCTGGGGGCATATGTGTCCTCCTTACACCCTCTCTCCCAGGTTGGGGGTCTCAGTCCCCTAGAGTGGGCTGGTTCCAGGTTTGCCACTGCCACTGGGTTGCTGAGCTCTTGACAGCACCCGCCAGGGATTGGAGCTGTTTAAAGGAACCGGTTTATCCATGGCTCAAGTGACACCCACCTCACTCTATCCCCTGCCGTTGGCATCTGCTCGAGTGGGTGTGGGCCAGCCAGAGTGTGGAGAAGAGACTCTACTCCAGGGGTCCAGGCAGGACCCTTGAGAGCTGCACCCCCTGGAGGCCCTGTCTGCACCTGGGGCTCCTGCCTGCCTGACCTAGGAGTCTTGACGCCTCGGTCTGCTTTGCCCTGTAGTCTACGAGAAACCCCACCCATCTCTGGGGTCTGTGGTATATAGCCTGAAGTCTTTCCTCAACTTAGACTCCTGGCTCTGCATCTTCTCAGGCAGGCCTCTAGCTCCAGTTGGGGTCTCTGGTGGTGAGGTGGTGGCTATCCCCTGCCCAGCCCTGTTAGGTTGGAAGCCACTAAACCTACTTTCATTCTCTACTCAGGGGACCGTCTCCCAGCTGGTCAAGTGCTTAGACTGAAGATTTCCCGTCAGAGTCAGGGCACTGGGGGAGGGGGGCGAGGCTAATGGTGAGGCTCTGCTGTATTGTGCACCTGAAGCTCGGCAGCCTCAAGACAGGTGTTCAGAATTCAGTACCACTCAAGACTTGGGCTCAGTATCATTTAGGGCTCAGTCCCCAGCAAATCCTAAACACCAGGAGCCTTAGCTGCTTCCTGCAACCCCACCTCTCAGACAATACCAAGCAGAGGTGTGAATGACTGACAGCCAAGCCCTGGGCTTTTTATTAATGGACACTAGCTTTGCCTGGAAGTGTCAGGGCACAGCCGAGAAAGCCTGCCAGAGGAAACCGGCCAAGAGACCAGCTCAGCCCTTACAAGCTGGAGTCTCACGGGAGACAGATGTCTAGGTGGGCTCTGGTCCCAGGCACCCATCTCTCCTCAGATTTCTCTCTCTTGCAGCCCTCATGGCAGGGCTCTGAGAACCAGGCTGTTCCTGGTGGTTCCCATGGCAGCAGCCTGGGGGCTGAGGAGGCGGGGAGGGAGCAGGGCCGTTCTCTGCAGATGCTGCTTGGCATCCAGAGCAAGAGGGGTGGCCCTGCCTGGAGCTAGGAACACTCTAAAAGTGAGCACAGGGCGAGGGCAGCTGATGGTCCCTCTGCTCTGCATGGTGCTAAGAAGGAAGGAAATGGACCTGCCGTGCCTATGAGGGAAACTGGGCAGCGAGAGCCAGCTCTGAGGGACCAAAGTCTACTCTTAAGTTCCCCCATTCATTCTTCGGAGCACCTGGGCCACACCCAACACAAACAGCTCCAGAGGTGTCCCACCCAAGACTTAGGGACCAAGCCACCCCAGCTGTGAACTCTGTTGGGTTCAACTCCCCACCTAATGTGCACCCAGAGATTCTGGGGCTGGGTCACAGCTCGGCCACCAGGAAGCCTCCTGGAGCTTCTGAGGTTACCCTGGGGCCTGCTTTCATTTGTAAGACTGTTGCCCCATGAGACTGGGGACTCCCTGAGGGGAGGTAGGGATCAAACTTGTCCCTGCATGCCCAACACAATGTTACAGTGAGGACATGGTGAGAACTGAGGCTGGGCAGGGCACGGGCGGATGTGATACTGACCAGTGCTGGCCAGGTATTTGAGCTGTGTGAACGGCATACCCATGGTAAGCTGGGACACTTGCAGTTCTGAGCTCGTGCCTCAGAGTGATGACCCCATTTGAAGGATGAGCCCACAGGAGTCATCACATGCTACCACTCACAGTGGTTAATCCACTCTGGTTTTATAGAAGTGGAAACTGAGGTTCATCTCCTCAAGACTACGGAAAGTGAATTTTCTATTGTAAGGGTGACCAGGCCACTTTCCACAGCATGTTCTGTGTTCCTGAGTTAGGGATGAACCCTGCAGAGGGCTGTTCCCATTCCCACCCAGTCAACCCCACCAGTTGGCCAGGGATGCCACAATCAGGGTCTTCCTGCTCCGGTTGACTGGGTCATTGTTCTCATGACTTCACTGTGGGGACGAGGATTACCATCCCAGGCCAGGAGTTTAGAGCCAGGTCCCTACAACCTGAGAGTATGCTGAATCCTGGGAAATCCAAAGATCAGATCTGGGACAGACACCAGAGAGGGAGTGCCCGGCTTCTGTGCTCTCGTCCGGACTCCACCTGTACCAGGAATAAATGATAAGTCCTGTCCCCTCTCCCCTGAGCATTCTGCCTAATGAAAGATCGCTGTTCCATCCGTGTGTGTGGCTTGGTTGTAGGTGTCTGCAGCAGGGCAGTCTCCCCATCTGCCTGTTCATTCCTGTTTCCATGGAAGGCACTGCCTACAGGAAACATGCCCTGTGTGTGGCAGGTGGGGTGCTATGACCGCAAACCTCTCCGCAACAGCTTGCAGCCCCCAGGTCATGCCCTCTCAGGCCTGCCAGCTGCAAGGATTTGAGTCTTTAATTTTTAAAATGTAATTTGAAATACACAATCTGGAAATTAACTGCATCCAGATGCCAGGGCTGCCATCTCCACCCCCAGCCCCACCCCCTGCGCTGCCTGCTTGGAGGGAGAAGATGAAAGACAGAGGCCGAGGTGGGGCATCTGTGACCGACCGCCCAGCCTCAGACAGTGGCGGGCGCCGTGTGCGGGACTGTGTGACTCAGCTTCCTTGGGGTTTCCAAAGCGATAAAAGAACCTTAGCGCTGGAGGAATCACAGTGTGTCTGTGGAGCGGAGCAGCTACGTCAGTAGACATCAGCAGACAGCTGCAGCCTGGCCTGGCCTGGCATGGAAATCCCCATGAAGTCATGGGAACAATGACCCAGTCAACCGGAGCAGGAAGACCCTGGTTGCAGCATCCCTGGCCAGCTGGTGGGGTTGGCTAGGTGGGAATTGGGAACAGCGTCCCGCAGAGTTCATCCATACTGAATGCAGGATACACCGTGGAAGTGGCCTGGTCAACCTTACAGTGGGGACACGGGCCCCGCAGGTGGGAGCCCCTGGGACCCAAATTCAGTTATTCAAAATTCACTTTCTATAGTCTTAGGGAGATGAACCTCGGTTTCTGTTTTGAAGTAGGAGTGATAGCATGTCCTACTTTGGGGGCGTAACCATGAGGCTTAGCAAAACAACGTGAGGCCCAGGAAAGAGAACGGACCTTGGAGGCTGGGGTGCAGCTCAGCCAGTAGAGTTTTTCCTAGCTGCATGAAGCCCTGGGTTTTATCCCCATTACTGCACAGAAGGTTCACACTGCCATGTGCCTGTAACCTCAGCCCTTGGGAAGGCGGAGACAGGAAGATTAGGTATTCAAGGTCGTCCTAAGCTACGTAGAGAGCTGGGAACTAGCCTGGGCTACATGAATCCTGTCTCAAACCAAACAGAAAGAAGTGTTGTGTCTATCCGGAGTGTCCAGGCAAGGAACCATGGTAGCTCTAGAAGATTTTTTTCAAAGATAATGATACGTAAGGAGCTTTTATACCTGACGAGCTTTGGCGGGACTGTGGGGGTGCGTAAAATGACTCAGTGATGCCCACGCTACTCTGGCAAGCCAGGGTCACAGTTCAAAGCACACTTCAAGATGCCAAGAGGCCAAAGGAGAGGCCACATGGGGGAAGCAGTGTGCTGGGACTCGGGCCAATAACTCCACACTGCAGAGTGTCACTGTGGCTACTGAGAAAGGAGGGCTTAGGCAGAGCCCGGAAAGAAGAGGCTTTGACAAGCTTGTCAGGCCTAGGAGTGTCAGCGGCTCTGTCTCGCTGGGGACCCCAACCATACGCCTGCAGGCCCCTCTGCTCAAGCCACCTCTTGGTATCCTGTCCCTAGAGAGAGAGAGAGAGGCAGAGAAGG